GAGCCACCAAGCACTCTGTTCGGACAAAGACCTTTTCACCGAGTTTCATGAGTTTGCCAAAGCTGATTAGGTGTTCATGGGCAATTCTAATAGTTTCGAAGTTCTCGGTAAAGGAAAAATTCTCCTTAAATTAAATTCTGGAAAATCTTTGTCTTTGCAAAATGTTTTGTATGTCCCTTCCCTTCGTAAAAATTTAATTTATGGTGCTTTTCCTTGAAATTCCGTATTTACCCCTCGTATATAAATACTCACGGCACTCACTCACGACACTTACAACACATTTCACGCTCATACTTCACTCTCATTTTATCTCTCTAAAATTTAAAAATCTCTCTAAAACTTAAAAATCAGAAATTAAAAAAAAAATCTGAAAAAAAAAAAAAAAAAAAAAAACCAGAAAATTCATAAGGAAAAACACCCACAACCCACCACCAATCCAAAGAGGGTAGAAGAAATCCGGCGATGGCGGACCCGTGGCAAATCAGGGTGACGTACGGTGGTCGAGGCGGCAGCATTGGAGGCGAACGGGTAATTTCCGGAAATTTGTTGTTTAAATCGAAAAAAAAAATCGGAAATTTCCGGAAATTTGGGACATTCACCTGAAATTTTCGGATGTCCCAAGGAGGATCCGGAAACTTCAGGCGGATCCTCCTTTGTTTTTCCGGAAATTTCAGGCGGATGGGTATGTCCCAAATTTCCGAAAATTTCTGATTTTGTTTTTTTTTTAATATTTTTTAAAAACCCGATTAATATTATTATTATTAGTAATATTATTAGTATTAGGACTGTTATTTTTATTAGTATTATTATTAGTAATATTACTATTATTATCATTGTTGTTGTTATTATTATTATTGTTGGGAATATTATTATTATTATTATTATTATTATTATTATTATTATTATTATTGTTATTGTTATTGTTATTAGTATTATTATCATTATTATTGTTGTTGTTGTTATTATTATTATTATTGTTGTTGTTCTTGTTTTGTAATATTGTTATTAGTATATTGCGAAATTTGTGGTTTATAATTATTATCATTATTGTTATTAATATTGTTATTATTGTAATTATTATTATTATTATTATTTTTTAATATGACTATTTTTTGTTCAACTTTAATATCATAGTTATATTTTTAATTATTACTGATATTTGATTTTGTACTTATTTAATGTAGATTGAGGGTTCAGGTGCTCGTCATGCAATATCAAGACGTTTGAATGCGTCTGTTAGGAGGGAGTCAGGTTGTTCAGTAATTACGAGGGCACTGTTTCGTCATGAGCAGCAATATGGGTCTCCTAGTAGTTGGTCGGGAGAGCATCAGTCACAAGGGAGCCTCCCCATGTACTCGTCAGGTGGAGTGCCTACATTTGACGATATGATGAGGACGAAGAGCGGGCAAGTCATGCTGATCTAGATGAAGAGTATGACCCTTAGGATTATCATGCGGTATATAGGGGTCAGCATGGGAGATTTGTTAGTAGTCAAGCTAGTCAACCTACTACCAGCTCAGCAGAGACATGATTAGTGCAGCAGTCGATGGCAGGTGGTCCTAAGGATGAGACTGTTATCCCTAGTTTTGGTGGTCACGTGGCATCATATATATGGGGCGGGACGGAGCGAAATTTTTTGCGCTGTTTGAGTAGGACACAGTTGTGTTCTGAATTTGTTAACTGGCGAGGTCGTCTTGCACAGGAGCACCTCGAATTGATTGATGGCAGTGCTTTGTCTCACTTACCTGGGATTATGTTTAAGCGTCTCGACTGGTCGTTGATTTCTGCTTTTATTGAGAGATGACAGCCAGATACGAACACGTTTCATATGCCATTTGGGGAGATGACGATCATGCGGCACGATGTGTACTATATTCTTGGGCTTTGTGTTGATGGTTCCATGGTTTCCACTACTCCTAGAACGGACGTCATACGGGACGCATGCTCGGTTACCATGGATATGACTGTGGAAGAGTTGAATGAGAAGTGCGGTACTAAAACCATTTGGCAGGGTAGTGGGGTGCTGACTGAGAGGATTTTTTGTACGACTTTGGAGGCGCAGAGGCCCTTCAGTGTCCATTACACTGCATACATGTGGTTAGTACTACGAGGATCATTGTTTTTGGACAAGAGTGGAAACCGCACTCATCCTTCCTTCCTCCATGAGCTTGTTATTGATGATGTCCATTACACGGCAGTTGGGTACGGCATCACGAAAAGATGCTTATTCGATCATTGGTAAATTGGGAGCGACGTTTAACAACCCCCGTGTTTTTTCATGGAGAAATGGTTTACCCAACTTTTTATCCCCTTTACTTTTCTTCCCTTTTTCCTTTTTATTATAATTTTATTTTTTGTAAAAATAATATAAAATATTTATGGTATTGGCATGAGGTGCCTATACCATTCTCCTACTAATAAGGGTCAAGGGTAAAAACTTACTTGAAATTCATAACCCATTTTATGAGAACAACTCATATGTGGATTGAAATAATTGTGCCACAATATGTTTGACATCTCATATAACACCTTTCTTTTTTTAAGGGAAGTTATATAGCACCTTGTTTCACAATACATGTACTTTTTTTTTTACTTTTTATACTATTTATTTATTAACTTTGACTACATTATAATTAATCGAATACATGCGTTTGTTTCACTCCAAGAAAATTACTGCAGATTTTCCTCTGAAAGCCAGTATGATTTCACATATACGTCATATAAATTCCATAATCATTATCCAACGGACATATATAGTTGTTCACAAAGCAAATTGTTCAAAATCCGTTAAAAACCATCAAATGTGAACTTTTCCTGGTCAGGTATGGAAAAATTCTTTAAGATTTGTCACCACCCTTCGCCCGGTTGGGCACACAAAACCATAGTAAAATAAGATAATTGAGAAACCTTAACTTGTGGGGAAAATGGAAATAAAAAATCCAATCTTTGCACTTTCTTCTCTAAAAAATCCAACCTTAAGTTTATTCCACAAAAATCTAACCTTTATACCCCATCTTCACCAACAAATCCAACCTTTAACCTGTTAAACAGGTTAAAAAGTTTTTTTTTTTTTTTTTAATTCTTTCACTTTCCCTTTTCACTCCTCCTTTTTCTGTCTGCTCTCTCCTCAAAAACGGAAACAACCCAACAACCCACCAATTCCTCCACCACAAACGGAAATAACCAAAACAACCCACCGCATCAAAAATTGCAGCCCCTGCTCGCCTCCCTGCCTGAGACCCCCAAGACCCACCCACCTGTCGCCTTAAAATCCCCAGCGCCACCCTCCTACCGCTCCAAAACCCAACCCCGACCCCAAAAACCACACCCCTAGTGATTTTCTTTTTCCTCTACGTACTACTGCATCAAATTCGTGATTTTTCGACGTTTTTCGACGACGATTTTGTGATTTTTTAATTGAATATTGATTAATTGATTCTTGATCGGATGAATTTCGGGAAGAGTTCGAGCAATCAGCTCGAAGAAATGTTGCCAGAATGGCGAGATAAGCTTTTGTCGTATAAACATTTGAAGAAACGGTTGAAGTTGATCGTTTGGGTGGTCGGTTTCAAAGCCCTCAAAGGTTGCTTCATGGGCGGGTATTTTTGTGGAAGGGGATTTCATGGGTTGGGTGGTTGGTTCAGACTTTCAGGGGAGATGGAGTTAGGATTTAGAGGGTGTTGTCGGTGGGCTGGTGGTTAGGTGGTTGGCGTGATTGGTGGTCCGGTGGTCAGGTGTTTGAGTAGCGCGGGTTGTTGTGCAGTGCAGAGGCGGCTGGCCGGCGAGAGGAATAGTGTGGGTTGTCCGGTGGAGAGGAGAATGGGGTTGTTGGGTTCCGGTGGCCGGTGGGGATGGGGTGGTCAAGGAAGAAGGGCGGAGCTGGGTTTTCTGAATTATTTTTGTTTTTTTTTTTTTTTGTTTTTTAATAATTAAAAAAATAATTGACGTATTAATAGCTGACACGTGGCATATAACTTACAAAAACCGATTAACAACAGGTAATGGATCTTTAGATGAAGATAGGCGTAAAGTAGACCTGATCAAGTATGGCCCGGCCCGAGTTTGGGCAGAAAATTTTGGCCCAAAATTGGGGGGTCCGGCCCAATTTTTTTTAGGCAGATTTAGGAATGCGTTTTTATGCATATTTAGTTAATTTTTTAGGCCCGGTCTGAAAATGGCCCGAAAAGCCCAACCATTTTGGGCGGTTTAGGCACAAAAAATTCCGGCCTGAAGCTTGGCCCGGCCCGGCCCGAGAGGTTGGCATAATTTTTTAGCTTCGGCCCGGCCCACCCAATGATCACCTCTAGCGTAAAGGTTAGATTTTTGTGGAATAAAGTTAAGCTTGGATTTTTAAGAGAAGAAAGTGCAAAGGTTGAATTTTTAATTTCCGTTTTTCCTAACTTGTGCACGCTCAATCGGGAAACATTTTCCGGGAGCACTATCAATTGATTTTTTTTTTAATATATGTGTTTTGTTTTGTCTTTAGATTTAGAATATATATTGTACTAATATCCTCCTCAACTCATAGCAAATATAAACTTTAAATATGATCCATAAACTCCATTTATACTATAAATGTTCAACATTACTCACTTTCTCTATGTGTTATGGAAAGTATTTGTTAGGGTTAATGAATGCACATCGAAAGCAAAGTAATTAGAAGATATATAGATAAAGGCAAGACAAGTAGTAAAGAGATGGACATAGTATTTAACGTGGTAAAAAAAACCTACAAACGACGAGCACCAATATAAACCACTATATGAAAAATAGGAGAGTACAACAACCCTGGTCAGTAGTAAAAGAAAACTCTCACTATAGGAATTCACAAAATAGTAGTACAAAAATAGGAATAGTGAATTTGTAGAGAGAAGGTAAATTGGTAGAGAATTATAAGGAGGTGAAAGACTTATGTGTATGGTATGGCTTCTTGTCATCTTGTGTGTATGTCTTTAATGCCAATGACTCGTGTCTACAATTTTACATGAAGCTTGGAAGAAATGGCCGGAAGATTCTAGAAATTCCTTCATCATTCTTAGTATCCATGATGTTCTAGAAAATTCACGAACCATATTTCTAGTTACTTCCCGTGTCAAGAATTTCCTAGATCATTTTAGTGGCTTGCATGATACGAACTTGTAGAAAGATCTAGAGAATCGTGGTGCAATACCAACCATGCTACATGTATCCGGAATTGAAGAACATCAACCAATACTCCATCAAAATAATGTACCTATAAAATTTGGGCCACACCCAACAATATTAACTTATAAATAAAAAAAAATAAAAAAAACTTGCAAACATTTTGAGACATCTATATCATATATACAAGTGTTGTATTAAGAAGAGGATACAATAAATTTGTTAAATTACAATATATCATTTTACCCCTTTTCCCAATCAAATGGCGAATTTAATTAGTTTTAAAAGTGTAACATACATAATAAGCATATAAATACAATGCTCCTGTTGAAAAACTATGGACCAATTTCACATCAAAGCAATTCCCCTCTTTAGTCGTGAAGAGGGTTCCTAATGCTTTTTTTTTCTATATTTTTTTAAAAAATAAAATTAAATTCACATCAAAACACCTAGCTACTAACCCAAGCCATTTTCAAGTAATAAAAAAACCCAATAATTACTAGTATGATAATTAACTTCATGCATAATTTATCCACTATGAATAATAGCATGAAGAACATAAATTATGATGATAAAATGAATTAGCAGAATTCATCTTCATTCAAATATTGCATCCATTGCCCATCTCCTATATCACATAGTGATGAAGAAGATCCATGAGTAGCACTAGTTGAACATCTTTCAATAGGGATTGAATAATCGGAGCTCTCAAAATCTTCACATCTTCCCTCGGTGTACATGTCGATGCTCGACGATTGATCACTTGATATTTGAACTATGTTGGTGAATGAATGTTCTTGTGATGAAGATGCAATATTATTTGAGATGTTTATCGAGGTTTTCTTGAATACTCGACATAGAGCATAGGCATCCTACGTTTGGACAAGAAAAACATTTAGTATCATTATAAGGGAGGGGAATCGTTGGTGCAAAATAATAGTGTTGATTTTTTTGCGTGGACAGAGTCACAAAAGGCAATGATGTAGATGAGATACGTTCACAAGTTCAAGAATCACCCGCAAGATTAACCATTTAATCTAATTCGAGCAACAAGAGAATGAAAGTCCACATTACTAGTTTGTGAAAAGGTTGAACAAATATGTGGTGCAATAATTGTTGTGTTATCAATCTATGTTTGAATTTTCTAACGAAATTGTTTAAAAACCTAACCTTGTACTAGTATAAGAAAGAATTTTATGCATTTTTTTTTATCAACACTCTTCAAAAATATTGAGTACTTAGTGAAAATTGACTTTTTAAATTTTTTTACATGTTATTAATGCATGGAATTGGTGAATATTGGAAAAGAAAAAAAAATTCACAGGTTTGATTTGATTGTGCAATTTTGAAAATGTAAGATTTTTGATTTGCAGTTTTTACACTCTAAGTAGAACTACTAACTCTTTTTGCTTGGTTTTACACTCTAAACCCAAAAATCAAACAATGACACTCTATAATTTAAGATGTACGAGTGTCCAAGTTACCTGTAAACCAGAAGGAATTTCGCACTCTCCCTCGTCAAGGCGGTATTCATGCATAACCCAATCACTTCTATGGCCATTAGGTGCTCTCCCTTGGTAGTACACCAATGTCTTCTTCATCCCTACTGCTCTCATTTGTGAGTTTACCTTTCGATCTTTGCCCGTCGATTTCCAATAACCTGCCTTGGTTGCTCTATTTGTCCTTGATCCATTCGGGTACTTTCGATCTCTTGGACTAAAGAAATACCACTCCAAATCATTGCTTGGCAATAATGATTTACCTTCAAAAATGTATGTATATCATCAAATCATGTTTTATGTTAAGAGCTAGGTCAATAAATCTATGTTACGACATTGTTAAAAGTACAAAAAAAACCCTCAATATTTAAAAAAGAAAAAAAAAAAAGAGCATGATTAATTAAAATTAAATTACATAAGAAATTTTGTGATTGTCTCAATAAAATTAAAATTTTGTTGTTTTAAGAGCCTTAAAATGCAATCAACATGGTTGAAATAACTGATTTTTTATTTGATTAATGTAAAGTGATGCATTAACTAGTTCAACTTATATTATATATGATGGCTTGAGTAAAATGAAAGTAACATGCCTAAGGAAGAATTAAGTAGAAGCCTCATTTAGGAAGAAAAGTATAGACAGCAAAAAAGCAAGTAGTTCTACTTTGATGTAGACCATTTTGCTACTTAACTATAATATAAATTATGATTTTTATGATTTATGAAAATGATTATGATTTGATCATGATGATCATGCAACAAAATTATTCAGATAATTAGCAAAGTTGCCAAAGTACATAGAGGGTTAATTACAATGATCATGTTCTTTCATTATATATTATTTTATCTCTTCTTTTCAGTTTTGTTCATCTCTTTCAGATTCTCAGCTCGGTCTCCCTCCCTCTCCCTCATTCATCCATGAGCTGTATAGTATTATAGATTTTAGTTCCACGACTATCCAATTTAATAGTCACAGTGATAGCATAATAAACTTAAAGCTGGATATGTGACGACTAAATCTAGATAATGGGAGTATTTAAATTAAAAAAAGAAACGAACTAGATAATGTAGTAGTAATTCTAGATGATCGAATTGTATGTGCCTATTATGTCAAGTTTTTGTGCTAAGGAAAATGAAACTGGTAATGCATTGACCCTGTAATTAAGTACCTTTTAACTATTTAGTTTACTTATGCTTTGAATTTTTCTGTATCAATACACTTGACTTTAGTACTATTAAAGACTATAATTTTACCTTTATTTACGCAGAATGTTGTAGCAAGAAGCGAGCCACACACTACTTTGTGTACATGGATTTGCTAAATGATTTGTATGTCAAATAAAATTCATGAAAATACATATTTTAAATAATGTGTAGACCTGACAAAGCTGACTCATACCCTATTAATCATATTAATTGACCAAACCAATTTTTAATAACCGGCAAGTTTGTTTTTTCCCATAACGAATGGATACAAATTGATTTGAATTGACCCAATGCAAATTGACCCATATCCTATTAGGTACAACATCTTTCACAAACTGTGAAATTAAGACTAATAAATTAATGGACTACAAATAGTCAATAATCAGTTTCGTGCACATCATTTCTTTTTAGAGTTGGTTAGTAAGCTTAGTACATGATTAATTTTGTAAAATAAATCATGCAAACATGCAAAAAAAAAAAAAAAAAAAAAAAAAAAAAAAAGGATAAACTCCATGATTTATACATACGTACTTGGCAACTCCCAAGGCTCAAACTGATAAAGATCAATTTCAGGGATTATTTCCAAGTCAATCTTGTGACCATTGATCTTCCTCTTGAGGTAATAAGCCACCAATTCTTCATCCGTCGGGTGAAACCGGAAACCGGGTGGTAATGCAACAGGTGCCATTTATCGTACAACCACCCGGTAATGCTTTATATAGCGTATAATATAATATATATAGAATGGGTTCAGCTAACTCAGTTTCAGTGTCTTCTTCACTTACATCATGAAAACCGACGAAAAAAAGCTGAGAAAGGAAAGAGAGAGGAGAATATGAGTAGAGGAAGCAGGAAAGCTTATGTAAGGAAGATACATTGTGATATAAAATAAAACAAAAAGAAAGAGATGTAAAACAAAAAGAAAAGCAACTTCAATTCTTCCTATATATTCTTAAATAAATATATAAGTACGTGAATAAAATATAATACACACAAATAATATCAATAAAATAAAATCTCTTCTTTTGCTCTTTTTTCTCTGTTGTTATATCTTATTAACTAGTTTTATTTTATTTCGTGATAATATGATTCTTGTTATCGTTCACTTGAAGCTCTCTCGCTTTCTCTCTCTAAGAAAAAAACACATTGTTGATCCCATGCTTGAGTTCTGCCCTTTGGTATTATTATGGAATCTACCAAAGGTAAGACCTTAATTAGCCACGTGGTTATGTTTGTACTCGATCGTCGTCTTTCGCTCTCTATGATCGAATTCAGATCTTTTATCTCTCAGATGATCTGCTAAAGAGTTCTTTTTGCATTCATTCACACAGATTTATATGACAAATTTGTACTCTTGATGATGTTAAAAGTAACATGTGTCTACGTAATTATAAACATGAAAGACTGTTAGCTTGCCTCTTTTTGTCCTGCTACACTCTTTCCTTTATCCAAAATATATCTTATGTTTGGTATCAGATTTTATATTAGATTGCCGACACTTTAGTATCATATATAGGTGATAATTAAACATCAATCGGGATTGTTAATCTCTTTTTAATTTGTCTGTAATAATCACGAGGAGCTAACATTGTTGTAAAGACATTACCTAGTTAGCCTAAGATAGCGTAGGATATGGTGATATATGCTAGTACAGCTTTCGGATGCATGTGATTATAGTGTAATTGGCCTGGTTCTTCCTTCCTTTGTCTTAATTATCTTATATGAGTTGGTGACTTGATCTACTTAGCCTAAATAGTTATGGAATAAACATCATGTCTAGGGTGATAACAAGTTTGAGATTGATCATTTCCTAACATGTACATGATTCGGGAATTTGTTTCAGATCATTTGGTCATGGTCTTACATTCAATTCAAATTGAACTCAAGCCGAGTTTTGGACCTTCTCGGATTTAATTTTTCAGGTTAAAAATTGATTTCGGTTTAATAAATCATGAACAATTTATAATTCTTACTTGCTGTTTGGGTCCAATTTAGTCCAATTGGGCCTAGGCATTAAATGATCCAATTAAAAGCCCAAGGTCAAGGTTCAACTCTCCAATTGTGCTAAAGTCAAAGGTCAGCCCACAAAGCAAGCCAATTGGGCTAAGGCCCAACTTCTCCATGTATGAAGAGGTATAAAAGCCATCAATATTCATACATTCAGATATATAGATTCATAGATTCAAATACATTCTCATTGATTGATATATTCTCATATATTCCATCAAAGCCTCAAGCAACAAACTCTCTTGCATAGTGTTCTCTTTATACACATTGTACTGACTTTAGCATCGGAGGGGCCTTCCTCGGCAACACCCCCGAGGCTAGTTTACGTGTGTTTACTGTGCAGGAAACCTTCGGCCCAACATAACTTGGACCGAATCCAGTCTTCTCCGTTTCAGCGGACCTTCGGCAAGGTCCCATTGTTTTCACCCGAAACAATTTGGCGCCGTCTGTGGGGAAGACTTTCAAAAATCTTTAAGCCAAATTTCTAACCAAAATCATCTTGCAATTATCTTAACAGCAATGGCTAAGAACCGCAAGAGCAAAAGCCTCCGTCAAGGAGCGGGCGAAAAGCCTAAAACCCCTACACCATCACCCTCGCCGGACCGGAACTCTCCCAAGGGTGCCGGCTCGGGGGGAGGATCATACAAGGAGGATTCCCTTTCTCCCGTAATTCATGACTCTCATTATAGGCCGAGTTACTCTCGGTCTAGCAGGGGTGAGTCCGATCATAGGACACATTCAGTGCCCCAAAGCCAACCATCGGCTGCGCGCCCTCATTCCCATACTCGGCCGAGGACCCCTTTGACGGGGCCCAGCTCGGAAGAGGTGGCAAGAGCGCTGGCAGTACTCATGGAGGCGATGAGGGCACAAAATATGCCACCACCTCGTGATCGAACTCCTCCGCATACCCGGCATCAGCGGAGGAAGTTAGACCATAATGGTGGGAAGCTTCCTTCCTTCCGGGAACTGGAAGAGTGGGAAGAGGATTCCTGGAAAAATGAAAAAGTGAGGAAAAAGAACCCTCAATTTTTAAAAGGATCCTCATCCTCAAGACCAGAAGCGCATAAGAGCAGCAGCTCAGCTTCTCGGCCAGAATCTACTCACCGAGAACCTGAGACTGTTCGCCGAAGCGTCCTCGACCGACTCGGCGGCAAGGAACCGAGCGTGCGCAGTCGCCTCTCGTTCCCTGCAGCCGAGGCCCAGACTTCCCAGCCAGGGACGAAAACCACTCCTACCTCTCTAAGAGGGCGGAGCGCGGTCCCATCGGCCAGGAACAAGGGCAAGGCCGTTATGTTACCCGCCAGTTCACCATTCGAGCAATGGATACTGGAAGAGCGCGTGCCTACGGTTAAATACCGTCGCACATCACATATGACGGGACCTCGGATCCGAAGGATCACGTGGCCTCGTATGAGACTCATATGCATCTTTGCCCCAGATCCGAGGCGACTTGGTGCAAATATTTCCCAACCACTCTCAAGGGGGTCACGCAAGCGTGGATTTCCAAGGGAGTAAGGCAGGGCTCCATAACAGGGTGGGATGATCTGTCCTCCAAGTTCAGGAGCAAGTTTTCCACGGCAAACCGCCGAGAGAAGACTACGGCAGAGCTCATGAGTCTACAGCAGGGGGAAACCGAAAGCCTCCGAGACTATCTGACCCGTTTCAGTAACGAGTCATCCAGCGTCTCTCAGCTGGACCAGGGGCTAGCCGTTTTTGCAATGCAGAATGGCCTTCAGCCCGGAAAGTTCCTAGACTTCATGGTCATGCATACCCCGCAGACCTTGGAGGAAGCTCTGAATGCCTCGGATAAGTTCATCCGAGCCGAAGAATGGAACAAAGCGAAAACCCAACCTCAATTTGGGGGAGGGAAACAAAGACAAATACCCTTGTCTGAAGGCCAAGGCCATAAGGCAAAGGGAAAGTCAAAGGCCCCGGAGCAATCTTTGGCCAGCGACCCAAAGAAGGAAAGATCTGCCTCATACACAGGCAGATACGAGTCCTACACTCCGCTCTCTCTTCCACGCGCCAAAATTTACAGCGTGACGAAGGAGGAGCAGAGTTACCGAAAGCCGAGACCACTCCCAGAGTGGTATCAGCGAAAAAATAAAAATCTGTGGTGCGAGTTCCACGAGTCTTCGGGACACAACACTGAGGAGTGTATCCAACTGAAGGACCAGATAGAGGACATGGTCCGGAAGGGATACTTGAAAAAATGCATCGCGGATCACCGCGAGAAAAAAGAATCCGAGAAGTCAGCAAAGGACCCTCGGCAAGACCTCGACTTCCCCCGGAAAAACAGTAAAAAGCCGGAGGGGAAATTCCCTCCGATCAATGTTATCTCGGGAGGAATATACTCTCGGAGGGAGCACAAGAGACACCTTAGAGCATTGACTCACCAGGTGAACAACGCTGACATTCAATCTCCCCAGTCGCCGGTGCCGAACATGACGTTCACAGCCGCCGACTGCCGGGGGATTACGTTCCCTCACGAGGATCCGTTGGTGATCATCGCCACGGTGGCCAACCACGACGTCAGTAAGGTCCTTGTTGACGGTGGCAGCGGAGCAAACATTCTGTTCCGAAAGGCCTACAATCAAATTAAGTTGAAGCCCAAGCACCTTACGCCGGTACCCTACCCGGTATCCGGGTTCAATGGGGCTTCAACTTATCCAGATGGGAAGGTGACACTTCCTGTCACCATCGGTTGCGATGAGGCAGCCAGGAACGTCATGATTGAATTTTTGGTCATCGACGCTCCTTCAGTGTACAACGTGATTTTGGGGAGACCCATAATTCACGAGATCCAAGGGGTCGTCTCAACTTATCATCAGCTGATGATTTACGTCTCAGACGCCGGCTTCCCCGAAAGGATACAGGGCAACCAAAAGGACGCCCGAAGGTGCAACTACCTCAAACCATCCACTAGTCGCCCAGATGACAAGGATGAGGAGGAGAAAGAAAAAGAAAGAGAGCCGAGCACAAAAAAGCCGAAAGGCCTAAGTGCTTCGGCCCAAGGATCTGTACCCAGAGATAAAGGGCCCGAAAGGGAAAAGGCTAGCTCTTCAGCTGAGCCGCAAGACTCAGAGAGCCAGCCGAAGAACAAAAAGACTGGGACACCTGCTGACATTGGCAGCAGGCCAGATTATGAAGAGTCCAGTCCCTCAGCAATGGACATGGACGACCAACAGACTGAAACAGTTGAGTTGACCGAAGGAGACGTTGAGAAATGTGTAACAATCGGGATGGACCTTGATCCGAACACCCGTTGTGAACTTATTCAGCTCCTTTGGGACAACAGAGATGTGTTTGCTTTCTCGGCAGCTGATATGCCCGGGATAAGTTCAGACCTCATCTCCCACAAGCTTAATGTTGACCCAACGTGTCGACCAGTTAAGCAAAAGAAGTGGAATTACTCCGCCAATAAGAACCGAGACATCGCAGCCGAGGTCAAAAAATTATTGGAGGCAGGATTCATTGAACCTTGCCAATATCCAGAATGGCTGGCAAATGTGGTGATGGTTCAGAAGCCCAATGGTACCTGGAGGATGTGCGTTGACTTCACGGACCTAAATAAGGCTTGTCCAAAGGATTTCTATCCCTTGCCGAGGATCGATCAGCTAGTTGATTCGACAAGTGGCCATGCCTTGCTTAGTTTCATGGACGCATTCTCGGGGTATCATCAGATCTTTATGCACCCCGACGATCGAGCAAAGACAGCATTCGTCACGAACGCTGGGGTGTACAATTACAAAATGATGCCCTTCGGATTGAAAAATGCGGGGGCAACCTATCAAAGGCTGGTGGATCAAGTTTTCGCCGATCAAAAAGGCCGAAACATGGAAGTCTATGTTGACGATTCGATCGTGAAAAGCAAAAAACCAGAGGACCATGTAAAGGACCTGGCTGAAACTTTCGCCACCTTGAGAAAGCATCAAATGAAGCTGAATCCGAAGAAGTGTGTCTTCGGCGT